TGGCCTGGGCGCTGACGGGCTCGTGTCTCCCCACAGCTGCTGCCGGAGAGCCGCGCCGGCGGCCGGGTGGTGGTTCTGATGGGCTCCACCTCCGACATGGCCCACTGCACCAAGATCCGGAAGGCCTGCGAGGGCTACGGGGTCCCCTGCCTCCTGAGGGTCACCTCCGCTCACAAGGGCCCCGACGAGACCCTGCGCATCAAGGCCGAGTACGAAGGTAGGGGGCACGCGGGGTACTTCCTGTGGAGGGCGGGAGGGGGCTCTCTTCCGCCTCCTTGTGTGCGAGAGTGGAGGAGCGAGGCGCTGGGGAATGGGGGGGCGGGAGGCACGCACCGCGGGAGAGAGAAGTGGCTCTGGAGCGCCCGCATCTCGCGTCTTGTGTCGCAGTGGGGTGGCGCGCGGAGCCCCTGCTGTGTGTCACACCGGTAACTTTCCGGCGCCGTCTCTCTCCCCCCAGGTGACGGCGTGCCCACCGTGTTCGTGGCTGTGGCCGGCCGGAGCAATGGCCTGGGCCCCGTCATGTCGGGGAACACCGCCTACCCGGTCATCAACTGCCCGCCGGTCAGCCCCGACTGGGGCGCCCAGGACATCTGGTCGTCTCTCAGGATGCCGAGCGGTAAGGCTTCCGGCGGGGGGCTCTGGGGTGGGAGGCCTGTTCTGACATCACAGCTCTCAAGATGCTTCACGGTTGGCCGGGCAAACGTCTCTTTAGAGAAGAGACGAGCATGGGTGGACCTCCCAGGTGTGGCGGCGGTACCGTATCTGTTTCTCAGCTCTCGTGTCTCCTGCAGGTCTAGGCTGCAGCACGGTCCTCTCGCCTGATGGAGCCGCGCAGTTCGCCGCTCAGATCTTTGGCCTGACGGACCACCTGGTTTGGGCTAAACTGCGCGCCTCCATGTTGAACACCTGGGTCTCCCTGAAACTGGCCGACAAGAAGCTGCAGGAGTGCTCCCTTTAAAAACGAGGTCCTCCAGAAGTTTCTATCTTACAGCACTTGAGTCTCCGTCAGCCTCACAAATACTACTGGATACCATTCCAAAATTAAAGCATTTGTTTTCAAACAAAAGTCTGGTTTCTCCATGGTACTCTTTTTCATCTTTGGAAATCTCAGTTAAATCCTAAATTGAGAGGGCATGATTAAATATGCATTGGAATTAACGTTAATTTGGTCCCAAGAGAGGGTCACATTGTTTCAATGAGACTAATGTCATAAATGTTAACTTGTTAAACGAGTTCCAGCCAAGTCACCAGGATTCAATTGGAAGAGACAATCTGACCTGCTAGGAAGAATGTTAAGCTGCCTTTCTGTGCGTTTGCCCTTATCAGGAATGTGCAAGAGCTATATCTTGTATACAGGTTCGGGCAGGAGGGATGCGAGGTGTGTTCAGTGTCGTCAGGGCTGCCCAACTCCAGTCCTGTTGGTTTTCATTCCCGGTCGGCTCTGGATGACCCAGTCAAAGCAATCCAGTCACTCTTCCCAGCTGTGAGGGACCTGTTCATTGCAAGAGCCTTGTAAAATCTCCAGGCCTAGATCTGGACACTGCTGCTGTAGGTGGTTGTGTCCTACAACAGTGAAACAATAATTTGCCTTTTCAGCCCTTTGGTCTTGTGCTACAAGTCTGATTTCCACAGCAGACCTGATTGGTTTTCCATTAGTGGCAACTTCACCAGACTCCCAAACCACATAGAAATACTGCTTCTCTTCAAGATTTATTTTATAATGGAGCTTCCCAAAAGATTTAGGTGAAAAGGTTTTTCGTGTGGTTTGTGTGGGGTGAATGACCTGACAATTGTCCTCTGGAGTAGGTCTGCATTCACCCCATCTCTCATTTGTACAGACTGATACTCATGTTTTTAATTGTCTGCTGTACTGTTGGGTACAGCCCAGTGATTGGGATAAAATCACTGTTTTGGAATGGGTTTTAAAAAATTCTGCTGTTAGATGGCTACCTGACAAGTAATAAGTATTTAGTCCTACTTTGGCAAGTACTGACTCGAGCAGAGGCAATAGCCAACACCTCTCGACAAGATCGGAATTGTTGAATCGGGGCTGAACGGCACAACGTAGAGTCAGTGTTTTACGTCAAAGAAAGCTTTATCTACAATCTGAAAAGGCCCAGGTACAATTTGTTGCCCCAGTTGTACTGAGTACATGGTTATTCAGTACTGCTTAAAGCAACTTTAAATCTCTTTGGCAATTCTGGCAAGGAGAATTGCAATTATAAATTCTAAACGAGTAGTGTGCACAGTGCCACCCTCGGCCAAGGAGATCACTGCTGCACATGAGAGATGTCACAGCCCAGTAACGGCACCACAGAATGAACAGCCATGGTACAAATGTCTTTTATTGAAAATTGATAAATATTCAAGCTGGAGCATAATCTGTATAAACCTTTTACAAATGATTTACATACAATAAAGCATTTATAAGACATATTTACACACAGAGAAGTACACCACGAAAACCAGACGCACAGAAGCTTGTCGCAGAGGGAGCCGGGCGCCAGGAATCCAAGCCGTGCCTGCGAGCGTGCACGCACACACACACACCGCTCCCAACGCCAGCCTCGCTCGCCCAAGCATCCGGTGACAACCTCCTTCTTCTGCACCCCCAACAGGACCATGTATATTGTAAAGAATATCAAGTTCCCCCTTTTCATTTTCAACAGACATGGACATGCGATCAAAATGTTTAACTACTTCTACAGTAAAACTGATGGGTACTGGAACAGGTGGCTGTGCAGAAGAAACACTGAAGAACGAACATATATTTGTTCATACAGGAAGTTGATTGCCCAGGCCAATACCACTGCAAATAAATACTATGTTCTTTAAGGATCCAAGAGACTCCAAACCGACTTAAAACTCAGAGGTTTAAGAGACACAAATTGTGCCTTTTCAGTGTTAGAGTAACAAAAAGGACAGCTTCACAGACCTCCATAAGAGTGCTTGTGCATAATGGGCTTAAAAGTGACAGTAAGATTATTAACAGCACAAGAAATGATAGGACTAACATAGCACTGCATTGTAAACCTATGTTACCTTTTTAAATGAAATCTCTCCGTACGTGAACACCTTCAAAATCATTGACCCCACATTCAGAATTTCACAGAAATAACCAATATCTTCTCCACACTGCAACCCCAGGGACAATTAGACTGCAGACTCGTGATGCAGTGAACTATCTAGGCTGTGTCCTTTCTCTTTCTTTGCACTTTTTTTGTTATTACTATTATTTTTTAAGACCATCGATAAAGTGTCTGTGTTTCACGAGAGGCCGTTTAAACAGCATCACAAGTACAAAAAAGGCAGCAGGAAAACCGAAAAGGCCACCGGACAGCACCAGGCGACTTGAATGGAAGATCCAGAGGAATGTCCCTTTGGCTATTCGCTGGGGATGCTCTGCAGGTATGTGAGGATGTGCTGGATTTTCAGCAGCCGCTCCTTCAGCGATGTCATGGACAGAACCGACAGCTGGTACCGCCGGTCTACGGGAAGGACAGCCAGCAGCCACCAGCAACAGGCCGGCCCGTTGGGGGTAGCCTGGAGGAACACAAGTGTAAGAGCTACCAGGTCCCGCTTGCCAACGCTTGCTTCCCCCCAACAACTGTAAGGATATTGGTAAAGTGTGATCCTTAAGGGTTGCCGTACTGCACAGATGATGCAGAACATGAATATGTAAACAGAGTATATATATATACACACACACACACAGTAGTAGATCGAGAAGGGTTGGTTAGGCAGTTACAGAGTTAGTGTAGTAAGACTTATAGAGCACTGTCTTAATAAAGTGTTCGTTCATAATTAAGAAGCTGTGCGATTAATGACTGCCGATAAGTACACTAATAGATTTTTAATCCTAGCCTCCTGTAATCTTTGGCTGGCCTGCCCTAGAGCCTCTTGGCTGCACCTGAACAATACCCGCACTGCGAGAGGTCCACCAGCCGTCCGTAACCTTAGAAAAATTGCAGATTTAACACCGATCATCTGTTAAAGTTTCACCGTGCGACGCAGACATTGCGTGATGAGCGGGTCAAATGTGCTTTGGTCCAGTTTTATTTTTTGGTTTCGCAACAGGCTTCAGCCCTCTGGAACACGCGTACGTTCCAATTGCAATTATTTTATTTTTTTTTACACATGTTGAATGCATCTGGCTCCAACAAAGCAGCTTGGCATTGGGGGGGAAGGGTTGGGTAATTAAGGTAAAACAAGCAGCATGCTCTTCCCCCTGGGAGACGGCCTCACCTGGATGTCCTCCTCTCTCCCGGGCATGGCCCCGAAGTGCTGCAGGATCTGCCCACGGAACGGGTCCTTCAGGTGCTGGAACCACGTGCAGGCCTGTGTGTAGACCTGGTCGTGCAGCTCCTGCAGCCGGGACAGCTCCCCCACATCCTGAACCTGCCAACGGAAGCGGCGCCCAGACATCAGAGCCCTGCTTTTGCTTTGAATTTCACTGCAAGGCAGCACTGAAGCCGTCACGGCTCAAAGATATTCCTACGGTTATTCTTCAGTCAACTCTAAAAGCTACTGCTGGACAGGTCACCGCAACATATCACCGTCCAGTTTATTTAAAAATTTTCAATTTTTCAAAACACGCCGTCTTGTTAGTAATTTACATCTGGCTTTCCAGCAGGCACAACACCCCCTGAAGCTTGCGTCCCAACCTTTTCATTCATTTTTTTTAGCAGTTAATCGACGACGTCTCTCATTGGGGACGTCCTCATGCTCACGTCTTCCCCATTTCAGACTGGGGGGTTCACGTTTACCTTCACATCTTCCAGATAGTCGATGTCGGCTATGCAGTATCCGTCTCTCATTCCCTTTTTCAAGACCCGGAACCGTTTCCCACCCAGAGTGTCCACTACTGAGCGGCCGTCGGGAAGGAAGTGGACGCTTCGGATTTGGAGCATGCACCCGTAGTCAACAAAACTGCAGGCAGACGGCAAGACAATGTCATTAGAACACGCTCACACTGGCACCG